TTAATAAACGTAAAAATAAAAATACTTTAGTTATCACTATGTAAACTTTTAATTCTTACTAAATACCATAAATTATAAAGTTATAGCTTATATTTAGAGCTATAAATCAGTATATAGTACTATATACTGATCTTTAATCGAACTTGAACTTGTATAATGATTCAGTTTGAGTTCAGTTCAAACTTCGAATCTTTCTTGAACTCAAGCCAAAGTTTGGTTCGAATTTTGAATCAAACTCGAACCTGGAAAAAAGTCTGGTTCACTTTATAGGAACACTAGCTTATATTGCTTGTTCTACTATCTAATATTAATAAATAAAATTTCTTTTAGCTAATGTCTAATAAGATATTAATAAATATTATTCAATAATATTATAATATAAATCATTCAATAAAATATAAGATAATTAATATAATAAGTTCATATTATAACAATTCTATTACAGAAAATTAGTTAGTGTTAATTAATTTTAAATAATTAAAATAATTTGTTAATTAATATATTTAATTAAAATATTATATTGTTATTATTCTAAATTGTCATAAAATTATGTGAGAAAGAATCTATAATGTTATAATAAATTATATAATTAGAATAATTATAATAATATATATTAATAGTGTTGGATGAAAAAGTATAAATAGTATAATTAAATATAATGCTTCAAGTATTATATCATAATTATAATAAGTCTAAAATAATAATAACAGTAAGTTCATGATGTGATCTGTTAGAATGAGATTTAGCATTTATATTGTGAATATTTATTAAGAAAAATTATGTAATAAATATGTAATTTCATTATAAGATTATAATATAATAATAAATATATATAATTTTATTAATAGATAAATTTATTATTAATTTATTATATGTTTTTAATTATTATTGATTATACTTGATTGATTTATTAATTAATTGATTCATTGATTAATTTTTTTATTTACTAATTAAAATATATGCTATATTTATAGATAAAGTATAAAAACTAAATATTCAATAAAATTATAGATTGGATTGAAATTTAAATTGAAATTTAAATTGAAATTTGAATTGAAATTTGAATTGAAATTTGAATTGAAATTTGAATTGAAATTTGAATTGAATTTCTAATTGAAATTTGAATTGAAATTTAAATATAATTTAAATTTCTAAATATAGTTATCCAATAATATAATACTAAAATATTATCCAATTAAATTTATAATATAAATTAACCAATAAAATAAGAACTAAATATTTATATCATAACAATATATAATTGAAACATTATTATTTTGTTATTATCTCTTCATATTTTATTTCTTTTTCAAACTATATACTTTTAGTAGAAGTTGGTATAGAACTTAGATATATTTTTCTTATTATTCTTATATTTGTTTAATTCTCTTTCCCAATTCCTGTTTACATTTATTAGCTAATTTCACAATTAGTAAAAAATGTGTAACACTATTTTCAATTATAATTTATAAATAAATAAGATACTAATAATTTATTTATTAAATTAATCAAGGTAAGTATAACTTTGCAATTAAAACAAGAGATCATATACAAAAAATATAACTTTGTAATTAAAATAAAAGATTATAAAATAAAAATACAATAACTTTGCAATTAAAATGAGAGATTATATAAAAAATACTAACTATTCTAATCAATAAGATTAATTTTTAACATCTACATGCTGTATTTATAAGTAATTTATAAAACAAAATGATTATTCGATTTATCACTTGAAATAATCATTGGATTTTTTAGATTTTTGGCATTATAGAACCTGGATTAAATCATATGATCGGCTGTACAACAAGATCGTGTTTAGATCAACCGATTTATTTCTTGTATATATCTCTCCAACCAAGACTTAAAAGAATGGTAAAGAAATACATTTCATAAGCAATTATAATACTCATGTAAATAATAGATTATTATGAATAATAACAGGTTAATTTGACGCTGTACACAACGACTGCTGTCATATTACTTGACGGCGATGGCAATCGGATATTATCGAAATATTATGGTGGTACCGGGCGAAATGTGTATCCCTCAGCTAAAGTACAAAAAACTTTTGAAAAAGGGTTATTTGAGAAAACAAGAAGAGCTAATGGTTAGCTAATAATATCAATAATAATAATAATGACCTTTCTTTTTCGATTAATCCATAATTGTGATCCGATCAAAAAGAAAGAATCTAAATAATTCTATCACATTTTATTTTCTTTATCATAATACAATTCCCACTACAAAACAAAATCAATCAGGCGAAATAATACTCTATGACAACCATGTAATCCTCTATCGCAACAACATTGACGTATTCTTTTACGTCGTGGGTTCTGCAGAAGAAAACGAATTAATACTAAGTAGCATCCTGAACGCGTTTTACGAAGCCGTGTCTAGCATCCTACGACAACAGGTGGAAAAACGTGCAATTCTCGATAATCTTGATCTCGTGGTGCTCGCACTCGACGAAACGATCGATGATGGAATAGCACTCGAGACAGATGCTAGTGTTATTGTGTCGAGGGTTTCGCGACCGCGTACTGATACTACTGATATTCCTATCACTGAACAGACTTTGATTCAGGCTTATCAGACTGCCAAAGAACGGTTTGCTGAGAGAGTGTTTAAAGGAGTGTAATGGGTTTGATAGTGGCAGACAATAAAATGAGTGCTGTATTTTTCTTTTTTTGTGTTACAAGTAGAAATTTATTTAGTTCTCAGAGCTTTGCGAGTTTTATTATGATTGCTATTAAATTTTATAGATTTATATTTACATAATTATGTGTGGATTTTAAATTATTAGTCATTAATATTCTACAATATCTTTTCTATTTGGAACTACTTTTTGAAATTATCACAAACTGCTCATATTCAAAGTCCTATACAATAAATTTTCGGTCCATAAAAGCGATCAAACTGCATTTCCGTTGTAACGATGATTTACTTAAATTAATCATTGCTTCATTACCATTACCTTATGTGAGATTCAAGTAAATGTGAGTTTCCAAAGCGTCCCAAAAAGCTTGATGTGCTTCAGCATCTTTATGTCGAAAATCTCGCGAAATCTACAGAAAAAATTGTTCATTCCATAATATTTTCAATTATTGCATTTTGTAACAGATAAATAGACAAAATATCCTTACATTTATTACTTGCACTGATTTCCCCCATCTCAATACGTTATCGATGGTCGGTTGATGAGAATACTTGAAGTGGAAGGCTCTCACTTTTGTATAAATTGATTAAGATCAGTAAGTTAATCTGATAAGATATTTAAGTTCAGGACAAAAATCTACCTTTTTTGAATATCTCCTCGGTGCTTTGCCATTTCCAGTGTTTGAATTGCCAATCGTTACCATCGACAACGACACCTACCACTCGATCCCTAATATTAATTATTTCAACATACGAGTATACTCGTGAAAATCGAATTACAAATAATTTCATATACTCGAAAAATTATACAAACCAGTCCTCAGGTCTAAGAGTATCCGCCAAATCCGCGATTTCATATTTTCTTTCTTTGTAAGTGAATTCGACCAGTGTAGGCTTTGATGCTGTATGTAAACTACGTTTTTGCTCGTTTTCAATAAATCTGATAAGAAATAACAAATAAGTAAACGATCTGCAATATTCTTGAAGATCTGGATATCACAACAAAATGCTGCATACGATGAATCCTGAAAGAAATCCTTTGCATTATATATGCCGACCATTGCTCTTGGAGAAGGTGATACCATAATAATCGGTTTTTTAGGTTCTAAACAATAGAATATGACAATTTCATAAATTTAATAGAGCTGATAAAAAATAGTCAATTATTTGATACAAACCTTTTTCATTGTTCCTTGAGGTGCTTGATGATGGTTTAGTTGTCGATGATCGATAGTGCGTATGCGAAACTATAATGTTCAGAAAACATTAATAAAATAATATTAGAGAAAGTTCATTCATTAAAAGCGTAAAGATGCAAAACCTCGTATTTGATTAGGCTGTAGAGGCCTTGGTTTATTTATCAAATCATGAGCCAATTCCAAATACTTTGATAATGACTAAAAAATAATAATTTTTATTAATAGGTTTTTCAAGTAATTATTTGAAACATGTAGAAAAATTACGTTTTTCTTTGTGAGTGATATATGATCATGCTCTATTATTGGACGTTCATGCTTTGTCATATTGTCATCAAGCCATTGCTTATCGGGTATGTATTCATCTGCCGAGCAACGATGCCTCTTCGCAAGGTATGCAACTCTCGCCAATTCACTTTCACTGTGCATGAATGCATTTGATGAATCGCGTTTTTTGCCTGAGAAAATTATTTAAATTTATATTGAATTAGCGGTAATGTGAAATTAAAAGATAGTGAGGGAAAATTTTCACAAACCAAACCTTGGCGCCTATTGTCATCTTGCGTCGAGGAATGCCCTCTTACACTAAATTTTGAATTCGTTCTTGATTTTCCCATTCTGGGAGATTCACTCGTATTGTTGATATGATTGTTTGCTTTTGTAGAATCTACATGATTTAATGAAGAATTGTCAAGAAGTGTCTCTGTATTAAGTTCTTCAGTCTGTGGTATTTCAACGGGTGAAAGAGTCGGAAGATGATCTTCTGCTTCGTACTCTAATGGTGACCCAGGATATTTGGAGGGATTAAGAATTTTGAAGGATAACGCGTCCACATCATTTTGTTCTATTGCAATTGGATCATCAGCTTGAGAAAAGTCATTATAATCTGTCAGATCAAAATTGTTACTATTGCTATTAATCGGAGTTTCATTCTCTTTTATTATGTGGTCATTATTTTGGTTATTTCGTGATAAATCAAACGATTCAGATTCGTCCATGGGGCTAGCCTGGTCATCGTAAGAATATTTATCATTTAATGGATCATCATCGGAGGATTCAACCTCATTTAGAGCAGCAGTTGTAGTAGTAACAGGCGGAGGAAAATATGGAGGTGCGCTCGCAAGATTCTCAAGTTCTTTCAGCCATTTCTTTCGATCCATAAAGTTCATCGGCACTTGAAACTTGGCATTTTCAATGGCGTCTGTATGGTACTCGTTATAGTTTAGATCCTTAGTTTTCATAGCATGGTAAAGAACACCTAACGAGTATGGTTCATCCGAGCTTTCAAAAGTTGTGGGTGTTTCTTTGTCTAAAACGTGTGTTCCGAATTGGAGATATACAGCCTGTGAAAGATCTTTGTAGTCACTAGAAATGTGGTCTTTATCGTAGTCCAAGTGAAATACTTCTTCTTTGTTTCGGTAGTAGTCGTGTAAGAGTGATATTGGGTCTGGCGTAGACATTGTGAATACTGATGTTTTATTTCTATTTGATGAAACGGAGAATTAAGTTTTGGTATTTGGCTTTACAAGTAAATAATATCGATATCGATATCAAAAAAACAAATCATAAATTTCATGATAGGGATCGAATAATGCGGATCGAATTTTGGAAGAATCGAGAGTAATGACATATTGATATATTTTATTTTATCACGTGTTTATGAGAACGATGCCACGAATGATCCCAATTCATATGATCAATGTCTGCATCTCTTCGAAGAACATCATGCAAAGATATCTTGACCGATTTCTTCTTTCTATTGTGATCATTGTTAGTATCTTTCACGGGAGCTGCCATTGCCATTGATGAGATAATCACAATTGTGATAAGGAAGAGAAAGAGAACACAAGATGATTTTGAATGGTTCATATTGTTTGTTTGTTGGTGGTTTGGAGGAATACTGGTTGGGAATTGAGATTGGTTAGGAAAGAGGAAAAAAGTTTTATTAGGTTTAAACATGGAAGATGAAATAAACTCTTCTTATTAACATACTTTTTATATATTGTCGTAATTTTTATATATTGTCGTAATTTTTATATATTGTCGTAATTTTTATGTTACCGTACTTTTATTTATATCGAGGGTAAACTTTGCAGAGTATTCCTTCGTCTTTTTTCGAGAGAATAACTTTTTATTCTTGTCGATAATATATTTTGTGAAAAACCAATACCATGCCTATACATGAATAATCTTCGAAACGTGTAAAAGCGAATAGTATAATTATTTAAATAACTTGAACATAATAAAAATGCAAGTAGCAACGAACACTATAAAAGCATTTTAACATTTTTAGAATATCGTAGATCAGCATATAGTGTAACAAGAATTTTGAAAACACACTTATCGATATGGATTACCCGCGTGGAAATCGTCGAAACGAGGGTAATTCAATAAAGCTTCTCGTTTTAACATAGCTTCTCTCTAACTCGGTTGAATTGTTTTTCTTACACTCCAGGGGAACGAAAGAAATATAGAGGCAAGACATTTCAATGTCAGTTTGCCACTTTTAAGAGTTTGTCACTTCCTCTAATCTTGTTGAAATCCGCGTTTAGAAGAAGATAGACGTCGCGATAATCGACGTCCACGAGAACGTGGAAGGGAACATGAACAACAAGATCTTGATCAAACGCCAGAAAGTCACTTGTCAAGCTTGATTGTGATGCTTGGAGATAATGTTTGTTCAATCTTTGTATTCTTTCCTATGGTTTTTATAGAATTACGGTTTATAGTAATTGAGCTGGTAATGCCGAGTTGTCCAATAGTTGTTTCGGAAATTTAAAGATGACTTTTTTGCTAAGAGTCAAAGTTTCGATTTGCATTTCATTAAATTTGGTCTTGTGGTCCAATTTATCTTTAATAAAAGGCGAAGATCAGTTTCAATTACTATCTTCCGATTTCTATTGGCTCAAACACGTTCAATTAATAGTATACATACATAATTCGACTTCAAGACCCAACCAACAGAGCTCTACAAGAATATCGAAGAATTATCAAAAATTTTACAAGCAGACTTTGGCAAATTTTCTCAAGTGATACTAAAAACAATAAAATCATGGCGAGTACAAATTAGATTGCTTATGTCTTTTGTTGATTTTCAATTTGCATGTTAATTGTTATGATCATCAATTATAGTATTAAAGAACTGCCTATGAGCTCATCGATTTACGCTACATTAGTTGGCCTCATCAATGTGGGGAAGTCAGATATAGCTAAGGCCATGGTCACAGAAGCTTCTGAAACATTGCAGCAAAATTTGGACGAGGGTGATTGGCGAGGGGTTAAATTGATTGTGAGATTCTATAAGTTAATTATCGTTTATCGCGCGATGCATAAATATAATCAACTAAGTTTAAAAATTTATCAAGATGAAATTTCTTGTAGAGTTGACAAATGCCAATGTGATTCAGCCGGAAACTTTGCTTAGAATCTATGGGAATTTATTAAGTGTGCTGGATGAACCTGTAATTAAAAAGGTAAATTCAAATATATCTTATTATACTACTATCTATTATTACTTACAAACAAACAATATTTATACCATTCATTAGCGTCGTGCGGACACTTTTATAAAAATTGTTTTATCCACTTTACCATACGTAGGTACATCTTATTGTCATTACTATTTGCTTTTCTAACAAGAGTTCTAATTATTTCTTTTTTACGAAAGATTGGCAAACGGTTAAAAGATCGCGAGCCCATTAATTTTGAACAAATGTTAAACAAAATTCAAAGTTACTTTAACGCTAGAGCGCAATTTGGTGATCATAATTATTCTGATATCATCTTGTCTGCTCTCCAACCATATTACGGCGAAGATCCGCCATATCCTTGTGATGATGTCAGCTGATTCTCTTTTACAAAATGATTGTATTACTTTCGATTTTATTATTAGAAAACCTTATGCTAAATTTATTTTCTTTTAGGTTTTTCTAATATTATGGGAACAAATAAAGAAATTAAGTAACGAAAACTGGGAGGTAAATTCATTGTTTAAGAATGTCATGCGTAATGGTTATTATAGTTAACTCGCTCTTCTCAAATTTATTCGTCCTGATCATAGTGTCCAATCCTATTAAGACCTTGGTCAAAATATGACAGTGTTTTTATAACTGCTGATCAGGTAGTATATCTACTAGTTTATGCTTTCTTTATCTTTTATATAACTATACTAACTGATAATTATAAAAAAGCACGATGTGAAAGACTTTAATCTTCCTGGAGATTCAGAAAGATTGCAGTATCTTTATCCGGAACCATTATTCAAAATTTTTGTTGGATCTGAGGTATGCTTAAACAACTGCAATCATACTTAAACGTAAAAATATTTACGTTTTATCGTGATTTTGACCAGAATAATTCGGATATTCCTGAAACGTCGACTATTGAGCATTTCATAATTAATGACTTGATCCGAGATATTATCGATATTTTTGAAATAAATCGTAAAGAATGTATCAGATATTTGAAAGAAATTCCATCGAAATTCTCTTCTGGCACTTTTGATCAAATCCCACAAACCAAAAGTGCCATAAAACAAGAGAATGCTGAAACATCTAGTTGGCCGGTTCAAGATGACGATATGAATACTGATGATGATGACAAGGAAATCACGAATAGTTGGAAACTTGAGAAAATTATTGTAGAGGTAATTTTTAAATGTTGTTTATAATATTTTAATAGTCTATTGTAATTTAAGCAACTTTACATCATAATTCATAGGTAATATTTGAACAAATATTCAAATTACCACACCCAACTTATAAGCCAATATACTATCATTCTCTTTTGACTGAAGCATGCAAAGCTTTATCAGATATTTTCCCGCCTGTCATATCCTTTATATCTTTATAAATAATGCGAATTTCTACAATTTAACTATTTGGCATTTTTATTCTTGACCTACTCTATATTTCTACTTGGGTAAAGCAATTGGAATTCTATACAGTCGCCTTGAGAAATCGGACGTCGAATGTTGCTACCGTTTTTGGAATTGGTTTGCACATCATCTGAGTAATTTCGGTTTTATCTGGAATTGGAAAGAATGGTAAAAAATAGGATTTAATTAGTATTTAATCAATTTCATATTCAACAATTGTAAGAACTTTTTTCTTTTCGAAAAGGGAATCAGTCCTGGAATTGGATCCTCTGCACCCGCAACTATGTTTTGTTCGGGAGACATTAGAAAAAATTATACGTTATAGTTATTACGAAAGAATCAAAACCACGTTGCCAGAAGAATTTCTTGCTATCTTTCCACCTTCTGAGCCAACAACGAATTTTCGATACGATAAAGGTATGGTCAAATTCAAAATGCAATCAATGCAATAAAATGTATTGCATTATCCTTATTATTCTTGTGTCTATTAGACCATATTCTTAATGGGCTGAGTGCTACGTTATTGGCACAACTTCGAAGTAAAAGTACAGTTGATCAGATTCAAGCAACACTGGAGCAGGCACGTGCATTCTATCCAGAATCGTCTTCATCCGAGCAAGATGACGCTATTCGTGACCTATTTTTGCAATGTGTCTTGTTAGTAGGAAGTAAAAGTTTCAGTCACGTGTTGAATGTAATTGAAAGGTAATAAATAAAGGCTGCCCTTTCGGAAAATTACAATGCATGTTTCAGTGAGTTTAATGATTTAATTTTGATAATTTCAGATACTTGGCAATTTTGCAGTCACTTAATGCTACTCCTGAGGCACGAAAGCATACCGTGTTTATAGTAGCAGAATTCTGGAAGAAAAATACGCAGGTTAATTATTTATTTAAATAATGTTTTTAATTCTTTACTATCTATATACTTTGTATTTCTATTAAAACATTATTGTTATTCCTAGTTTTTGGGTATACTACTTGACAAGTTATTAAACTATCGAGTCATTGATGCTATTGCGATTATAACCTGGGTCTTTTCGGAAGATTCAGAGAAAGATTTTGCGCTGTAAGTATTAAAAAATATATTGATTTCTCATATTCTTTGAATGCCTAAATCTTACTTTCCTGATATATATGCATATAAAATCTATCAAGATCCTATGTTTGGGAAATTCTCAAAAACACGTTAAATAAAATGAATTCACGTGTTTTGCAACTGGAAACCAAAATAGAAAAATTACGAAATACTCAATCAGAAAATACCGAAGACACCTCTTCTAAAGGTATATTTTAAAAAATAATTACCGCTCTTCTAATTATGTTTCGCGTCTTTTCACCCTTTGAATATTAAATAAAAAAGATCCGTTCCAAGGGACCGAAAGTAACAATAATGAAACAATACAAAACCTGGAGAATTCTTTGAATATGGTATTGAAAGAGCAAAAGGAAGTCTTACTCGCGGTATTTCAAAATTTCACGAAGACGATTAATAATCGGCTGAAAGAGCACCAAGATCGCAGAATCGAAGATCTGCTATCTTCTCAGTGGTGGTTCTGGTGGGCTTATGGGTTTTTTAGGGAAGTGGGACGAGCGGTAAGTTACATAAAGTTTTTTTATTTTTGAATAATTAAAATGCAAAAATAATTATTATTTTATTTCATTAGTATTCTACTCAGTATGCAAAATTTATTGTAACCTTGGAAACTCTTGTTATCACCCCGGATATCGACCCTAAAATTGAAAATATCCTATCAATTATAAAAGCACTTTCAAACAACCAAGACACGGTTACCATAAGTCAGATTTAGATCTTTTAACGTTAACTGATAATGAACTTTAATAAACTAATCTAATTTCTTGTATGAATCCTATTATGCTACACAAAACTAATGTCTGTATTCACGTGACACTAAAGTTGATCCAATATTTATCCTTTCGAGAGCTACAAGTATATAATACAAGAATAACAAAATTACTAGAACATCCAAGTCTAAAACTAAAACTATTGAATATCAAAGAGAAATTCTAATTCTAGGTTAATTCTTAATTTAATTATTCACTTGGTAACTTGTTAATTTGCTAACAAGCAAAGTATTACTTATATATTGTTATCATTTTACTTGGATTTCACTTTTATTATATCTTTTTATGTGCTCAACATGTGTTTCAAGTCAAGTGGAAGAAATAAAATAAATAACTAAAGATGATGACGTGTATTCATTAAATATTAATCAGCTAGAAAGTGACTTAAGAAATCTTCTTATAATTTAATATGTATTGTCACCATTTTCAGAGTCATTTCCTATGATGATATTTCTGAAATATGGCGAGTGACTGTGTTCAATTGAAAG